ACTCTGTTCCCCATCCCCTCCTGCCCCTCTGTGCCCTCACACATGACTTGCTCCATCCCCACCTCTCTCATGCCCACCCCTTCTTTCAAGCCTTCTCCCAGCACCTCCTCCTCCAGCCCCCAATGCCCTTCCCCTCTCCTCTCCCAGCATCACCCTGTCCCCCCTCCCACTGACACCTCCCCTCCTGCCCTTTCCCTCATTGTCTGCACTTGGCCCCTGGCATTTGTCTCTCTCCTGCACCCTGTCCCTTGGTGCCTTCCCCTCCCCCCTCCGCCCGAGCCCATTCCCTACCTTCTGCATTCCACATTGTGGGGCTGAAGGCCGCCAGAGCCAGCGTGGCCCCACCACGTGCCTCCGAAGACTTTTAAAATCCTGGGACGTGACGTGACATCACGCCCGGGCGACCTCCCCACCCACACGCAACGCCGCACATGGGCAGCAGCAGGCGGTGAGGAGCAGGGGGGAAGTGGGGAGGAGAGGTTACCCCATATGAATGTAGATTAAGGTCCAAAATCTCAGTGGTGCAAACTGTCCTTTGTCAGCACAAGTCAGATAGTTGACCTAATGGTAAGAATTTCAAAAGTTCGCAAGCTATTTGGGAGCCTAAGTGATTTTCAAAAGAGTCTTAAATACCTAGGAGCCCAAGTCTCACTGACTTTAATAAGATTTTATCTCCTAAGTGCCCAAGGCTGAGATTTGTTAAAGGTAGTTCAGAGCTGTTGCACTCAGTGTTCCATTGTCTAAATAATTTAGGAGGTTATATCTCACTTTCAAAGGGGAATAAGGCAAGTAGGCATCAAAATCCCATTTACAATACCTTTAAAAATCTGGGCCTAAGTTAATTTTGAAAACAGAATTTAAGGATCTAAGTAACCAAAACACTTTTAAAAATATACCCACTATTTCAGTTCATGAAAAGGTTAGGAAAATGTACGTATATGTTTTGCTGTTTGTAAAGATACCATTTGAAATTTTAATCCTAAATGATTAATCAAAGTATTTGAACAGAATTAAACAAAAATGGGAAGTGATCAGACTTTTCTAATAGAAAACAGGGTCTTACTTTCATCAAGGACCTATCGTCAGGATAAACTGGGTAAAATCATCTGAGGTTCTTTACAACATGGGTTTTAATTAGAGATGGGCTGGAACCAAAGCCTTGTATCGGAGCAATTCCAAAAATTGAGAGAGTTCAGATCTAACCCAAATTTTATAGGCAAACACTCTATATATGCAATGGGTAGAGCCAAATTCCCAGACTTTGAGGGAGCTCAGATCCACGGCTGAATGTTGTCACTTGGATCTATCTTTGGTTTTAACAAAATATTTGTAAATTGTGTAATGTATTTTAAAAGTTCTGGCCACAAGGGTCATGAATTCTATTATTTATAGTTCCCATAAATGTCATGACTTCCTGCTTAAAGTCACCTCTGGGGAGTGGGAATGCAAAGAGGTTTGCTGATCCCTGTTTGATCCCAAATCAACTTGTTATGGGAAAGTTAATCAACTTGTTATGGAATTT